GGGGGTGGGCTGGCTCAGGAGGGAGTCTGACCACGAGTTTGCATGCAGGTTGAATCGGCCTCTACCTTCACGTCTCACACACCTGTTCATTGCAGACGAATGCATGAGGAAAAGAGGAAAATTAAACCATGGTGACAAGAGGTAAAGACTAAACGGTTAGCAGAAAAAAAAAAAACCTTTACTCGGGCATTTCATTGTTTTCTCTTTCTGAGAAAGTGACTTGAAACACTACAGAGCCAATGTTAGTTTAAAGGAAAAAACTAAATTGTATCCCGTAAATTCTGTACAGTTTTTATATACGTTAACCAATGTATTCTCGCTGCCTTCTAGATAATTTATTTTGCCACACATTACTGCAAAGTTGTAAATAACTTATGTACTGTAACTTCACTCTCAGTTAAGTGTAAAAAATTAATAAAATTATCTTTGTATGTACAGTTCACCTTTGGGAAGCACTTTTCCCGGTAACAATGGGCCAAAACGTGTACCCACATTCAGTATTTTAAAGACAGTCTCCTGTCCACAGTCTCAAAAGGTCCTTCACATTCTGTCCAGTCCTGGTTAAAACTGGTCAGAAGAAGGTAGTTCATAGACAGATCACAGCTTATGACCCCTTTTTCACATAAAATGGTTCTCAATAAAAAAAAAACACAATCTTACTGCAGAATGGGTTTTAGATTAGTCAAGGTCTAGTAAAGATGTATTACACTTTTTTTTTTTTACATAATTATCAAAGTTTTAAAAATTTAATCTAAACCGAGAAAATGCCTTTGTCGAAGTTTCTTAGTCAAGCAATTCAAAAGCCAAATTAATGTACAACAAATAAGGTTCTAGTCAATTCTGTCCTACTGTAGAAATGGCAAAGATTTCCACTATACCATACAGTGATATGTATTAAAATTTTAATTATTACATCTGAGTTTTAGTTAATGTATATCTGTGATTATAGGCACATTACACATGCTATAGGTTATATAGTATTGTATCCATTGGAATATGGTAGCCTGCCTGTTATTCTTTATCCCCAGTTTTAATACATTTTTTTTTTTTGCTAAGCTGTGCAGTACCCTTATTGTAGTTTGTAGTTATAATAATTTGCATTTAGTATTTAACTGAGTGGAGTGAGGTTTTAGTTCATTTTTAATTTGCGGTATAAAATGTAAAAGCAACACTTTCTTCGCATTTGCCATGCAAGTGAAGTTCTCGTCGTATAGTTTTTCCGATTTCAGCTTTAATTTGAAGAAAGCTAGTGCTATTTTTCCCCCCTGAGCATTTTCTTAGCATGGTTTTACAAATCAGAGCGATTTTTTTTTTCTCCCCCCCACAGTCAGAAGGTGGCACTAAAGAGAAGCTATTGGTTACTAAACTAAAAGTTCTGCAGTTTCTGTCATAGCAAGGTAGACTTGCATATTTCTCTAGCCTTCTCCAGATGTCAGTTAATTGTTTTGTTAAGGGGATAGGCCTTGCTCATTTATAATGATGTATTTTTTAATAATCTTGTAGACACAACATTCTTTTTACTTTTCCCGGAGGACCTGCTTTTAATTGTTTTTAATTTCTCCTCTCCAAGAGCGGGTTTTCTCTGCACACCGCACTGATATAATATGCTGCATACCAAATATACTAACATTTGTCAAAATTACAAACTTTCAGCTCTGTGGAGGGAGGCAAATTCAGTTTTACTGATTCGTGACTTTCATTTTTACTCAATTTCTTAAGCCACAGTTTGAAAAAAGTCAGTAATCAGGCCTTTAAGTTTTGTACAATTTGATTTTAAGGTATATTCCTGTGTTTAGGTACTCTGTATATGGGTCTTTATCTAATCCTTGGGGTTTAACAGGTTGTTTTTTGAGGTTTTTATTATTTTACAGATAATCAGTATCTTAATACACCAGATACACACAAGACAGTATAACTAAACAAAAGTGACATCCTAAAATATCTTAGGACACTTTTGACTCACAGGTAAAAGTATCACATTTTATCTTTTACTGGTTGTGATGAGTCATTCATGTCCATTTACCTGCTACACTGAACCTTTTTAATGTTTGAAATGTGCTAAAATTGGTTTGTGGGCCTTTGTTTTACCACAGAAGCTTATATAAATATCCTCTCATAATTCATGTACATCCACTTTATTAATCCCGCTATTGTGGTATATTGCCGAAAGATGATGTTGTACACAATTACCTGCAATGGATAAACACAATTTTCAATTTTCATTTGCATTCCAGAGAAGACGTCAAAACAAACTTCTCTGGAATGGATTTGGCAGAGATTCATTTTGCCACCCCTTGCATTGGATGATCATGATGATAATCTTGAATTCTGTGCTAAGCATAAATACTTCCAACATGGTATTTAAATAGAATGTATTCCCTCCATAAGTCCTGCGTCCCTATTGTCTAACAGTTATGACTAAGTGGTTATGACATATGCGGTTTTATTTTTCCCAGATGCGGTTTTTTATTTTTATTTATTTTTTTCCATTAATAACAGAGGCTTGAAATTGTGAGGATCCATTGTCCAGACCCTTTGTTATACTGTAGGTCTGCGCTGTTTGGATGCTGTTACCTTGGCACAAATATGGCTGCTTGGCATCTCTTCATCCTATTTAAATGGCAGCATCCCTGCCATCTGGTTCACATCTGCTTATAGTACCTTGTACCTGTCATATTAAGGGTTATCCAGTATAACGGCACCCATCCTGCTTGGCTAAAAATAAAGTCCATTTTCCTTTCATCTAATTGGCATCTTAAATATACATTGGACTTGGTCCTATTTCAAGAGCATCCTTACGACCAAAATGAAGCCTCGCACTTATTGCAGTGGAATACCTGGCAGTGCTCTCGCCCGTTTCGTGACCTCGCAGTGTCATCCCACAACAACTTACCTCTACTTTTTCAACTGGACAGAATCCTTAACCATTTAACCATTTAAGTCACAGTTTCAAGCCTTGGTCCCCACGTATCTGTTACTTTCCCCTTCTATATTAACCTAAACCGGACAGTAGCTGTGTTTAAAAGGATTGAAATCATAACAACGCATGGAGAACTACTCTTTAAATGGTGAAATGATAACCTATTTATTATCTTTGGCACCTGTGGTATGTTGGAGCAGTCTCAGATGTGTAAATTTCCCTCTTGTAATGCATAAACGAGACGTTGTACATAGATGTAAATATCTCCCAGGACATTTTGCACCCTCCTCTTTGTACTAGTTTAAACTTGCGTAGAATGTGGGGTTCTAACAGCAATGAGACAGTGTGCTCGCTGCCGGTGATGTAACAATGTAATTTTTTTTTTTTTCCTTTTTTTGTACAATGTAGTTCAATTGTGTACATATTGTTAGAGCAGCTATTGGAAGGGGGGCGGGTTTGTTGATGCTGTCGTCAGTGCTGTAACATCTCCAGTACTGTTACGTCTAGCTGTGTTGATTTACTGAAAAAACAAAATGAGTAAAAAAAAAAAAAAAAAATTAAGGAAAAAAACTAAACGGAATTAAAAAATAAAAATTATTTTCTACAGTTGCATGTACAGAGAGCGGGAAAAATGCTGTTGTCCCTCAGAGATTATGTTCGTAAATAAATTTTAAAAATACTTTCTTGGTCTGGTCTTCTGTTTTGTGCAATATTCTTGCAAGTTGCAGGGCATGCATAGGCATCACCCAGAGGAAGTTTTGTGATTAATTGCTCCAGATCAGTGGTTCCCATATAAAAAAAAATTACACACACCCATTATTTCAACAGATCGATCGATTAATACAGTCTTTTGGGCTTCGATTATGCGACTCAATATTTCATGTTTGTAATTGTGTGCAGCATTTGTGCTAGGCTCAAATTGAGTTTTCTTATATTCATACATTCAAACATTTCCATGCATTTTCAATAACTCATCCAGTTCAGGGTCATGGTAAGCTTCAGGTTCATCCCAGTCATAGAGCACGCACTGTACAATTTTAAACGCACCGACCAACACATTTAAACTGCAAGATGAAACCCACGTGAACACAAAATGAGAATCAGACCCACAACCCTGTTTGTGAGGCCACCGAGCCATCTTCTAGTTTAAAAAAATAATTTGCATGACCGATAAACCTCATTTGATTCGTTATTAACTCAAGGCATGATAGATAAACTAAGCTTTTGTGGTGAATAAGTGTCATGAATTATATTAAGCAGGGAAATAAGACAAAAGTCACACAAAATGAAAGGTTCCGTTAAGGATTCGATTAGGGTTGCCGCTGGTCTGACGAGTTGAGCTACCTATCGAGACGTACGATCGAGCCTTTCTGCACATGTGCAGTTCCACCTTTTTGGGGTTAAGGTTAGGGTTTTATGGGTTTTGGGGGGGTTAGGGTTATCGATTAGCGCTACGGTAGCCTACCTCGACAAAGTAGCTCAACTCGACAGAACAGCGGTCCCTTATAATAAGGGACGCATAGTTTATTTTCCAATGCCGGATGATCCCGTATTATAAGGGACGGGTGGCAACCGAAGATTCCACAAACGGTCCAACTAACCTTGTATGGCAGTAAGACAGGCCCCCGTAGAGAGTTTGGCGGTCCATAGCCGAGATCCAGACATCTGGATGGGCAGGCGGGGCGCGTAGCGTGGAGGGGATGCTTCCCAGGCGTGTAAATGGAATTCAGTTGGTTTCGTTCCAGTCAACCCCTTAGCTAATTTGCAGCAGAGTGTTGTTTCTTTACCAGTCGATTACACCGGGGGGTTTGTTTGGTTGCTGTCGCAGTACGTTTCAGTGTCTGTTTGTATACTGGAAAACCCCTGGCGATTATTTGCTTCGATTCACGTTGACTGATATTAGCAATGCTTATGCTATACCGTTTGGATTATATATGATGCGTAAAAGGCATGTGTGTGGTGCAATTTCAGTGAACAAACCGACAAACGCATATATCAGGAACATTTTGCCTGATGTGTGTCGCCATGTGAGGGGGCGGATGCTCTGTAATTCCAGACGCTGATTGGCCCGGAGCGCCGTTACACCGCCTTTAATTTCATATCATTTACATATTACCCGCCCTTTTAAAGTTTTCCAAACCCGTGTTTTCCTTGTTCGGACAGCTGTTTTCACTGGTACGGTCTCTGAGAATGGACTTTGAAAGCAGGATTTTTCCCAGAATAGGCGCTTTTGGACGATACAACCGTATCGTGGTTTTCTTCACTTGGATCCCGAACTTTGCAGTAGCGTTTAACCTTTTTTCCAACGTATTTTTCACTCTGATACCCGAATCGTACCACTGCGCACCAGACCCGTCTCTCCTTCCTGCTGCCTGGGCTTTCAGCAACCTGTCTGAACAGGAGAGTCTGAACTTTACCATTCCTTGGGTGAAAGGATCCGGTCTGAGTCACTGTGAATTGTACAAGTACCCCGCAAATTTCACCAATTTCACGGACAACATGCCGAGAGAAGCAGTGGCGTGCACAAGAGGATGGGAGTACACGGAGGCGGCGGGACTTCATAGTAACTATGTGACACAGGTCAGTATGATGTGTACCTTTTATTTACACTGCTGGGAATTAGATCACATGAACGAATATCCTTTTTCTCTCTCGCTATATCAAATTCACCGTGAGCTGAACCATCAGAAAATATGAGGCTGAACGCTGCATATATTCATAGGGTTTACAACTAGGGATTTGGGCTATTATATATTGTCTTTAATACATTGTAGATCCAGGTTGGAAGAACTGATACTACAAATGCTATGCTGTCCAGGATTGATAATTGTCAATGTCTGTCTGTTGCTATGTACCGACGGGATGACATTAAAGTTGCTATTTGGTATTTGGAATCGATTCGCCAAATTACATCATCTGTATGTTTGATATATACGAAGGACCTCTTCGCAGTTTTTTCTGTTTTTGAGTGTTTTATTGATAATCTGCTTCTTAAAAGTATTAGTTTAATTTAAAACCCAATGCCCAGCTCTGTACGAGGTAGTGTGTCTACTTTGCTGATAGGTTCCGTAGGGCTTGGTTGAGTCACCGCGGTCTCTGCCTCTGACATTCATCATCATTTAATCTAATTTCCAGACTAAGCACATTTTTACATATGCTCTGTTTGTGTGTGTGCGCCTGTGTTTGTGGGATATATATATATATAATATTTGCGTTTTGTTAACGTACATGGCTGGGTTTTCTTTGGTTTACTGCAGTGAGATTAAGATCAAGTACCTTTCTGGCATGTGTGAACGTAACATGCCTATTAGTGGCGGTTCTACAGCATTTCAGCTGAGGGGCCAGAGTGAGGCCAGTTGTTCTGTTGGGGGGGGCAGATGCATTTCGTTTTAATGTCCTCCAAGTATCAAGTATCTGCCAGAAGCAGAAGACCAGAGGTGGAGACTTAAGGTTCAGAGAGTGCAAATCCAGACCAAGATTTTGTTTCAGCCAACCAGTTGAATACTCTGTGACTGTCACTCTTTGTGCTCAGCTGGTTGGTTGAAACAAAATCTTGGTCTGGATTTGTACTCTCTGGACCTGAAATCTCCACCGTTGCAAAAGACAATTTTGAAAAGTAATGTTATTTATGCAGTGCTTTGCAGTCACATATTACAGTTTTTATAAATAAGTATTTCGCTCTGATTTCTTGTTTAGACTGTCTTGCTTCCCCAAGCTTGATAATTTTTTTCTGTCGTTAACTTAGATTTTCACCAACCGAAGAGACTCGACCACCCCGCTCTTCTGCGTTAATATATAAATGTAAATTATAAGTATTACTATTATTTCAGACCCAATTAACATACGTAGTTGGGGGGGGGGTTACCATGCATGTTGACACCCCCCCCCCCCAGAACCGCCCATGATCCCTATATGGACAGTAAAGGACAGAATTTTCTTTGGTCTCCAAAATAATATTTTAATGATTGTTTTGAAGAAAATACATGCATGATTTTGCTTAGCATTACAATATGGGTACTGGGGATAGACAAAGGCCTGCTAATACACATGCTGTCGCTTGGTGCCGTGACTCTCTTTGAAGGTTAATCAGGTACCGTCACGACAGATGAATTTACACAAGGTGCCTCAGAAGTCCTCTGTGCAAAGAAGTGACTTCCGATCATATTCCTATAAAGTGTGTCTGACTTGGTCTGAGGAGGAGATAAAGCTGAAAGAGAATATAACTGGTTGTCTGAATCACAGACGCTATTCCTGCCATGGGCACGTCCTGTGTTTACGTGTGTGCTGTGGCCGTGGTTTCCCATTTGTTGAAAACAAAACCCCAACCTCCCCCCCCCCACTCCCCTGACATTTCTTGGTTTTAAGGACTCTCTTCCACCCAGCTTCCTGCTCTGTGATGTCACTGGACCTTTGTGTTCCTGCAGGAGCTGGGAACAGGCCAGAACTTTCCATCGCAGGCATTTCCACCGCATTCCTGTTGTGGACTAGTCGATGTGGGTTAAGAACGGACAGGCAGGATGGGCTGAGGCCGAGAGCAGGATCTAATGCGATGGACATGATGTGATAAGCATCTCAGAGGCCTCTTCCTGTGAATCACTGGGCACGAGATCTTCTACGCAGTCATCATCTTATGTGTGCCTTCGTCTTCTATTGGAGTTAGTGTTCGCGTGCCACAGTGACAGTCAGACACCTCTATACACGTATCTATATTCCTGACATCCTCTTATGAGATGACATTACCGAGTCTTTATTACGGAAGATGAAAAGTCCCTTTAACTTTGTAATCTGACTTCAGTTTGAGTGCAAAGATCAGCAGTGCGAGTCATAATGGTGTGTTTCCATCCTTACATCCATAAAGTATCGATGATGATGTTGATGATCCTCCATCCTCAAAACCAGCATAGTGTCAAAGGAGCTGTGTGTTTCTCCTAAGTATTTCATTAAAGGGGTGGTAAGGGAAGCCTGTCGACCTCTGAGTGCGGGAATTTGACCAGAATAAGGGATGATGCTAAGTGTTTGGATCCCCGAGCAACAAGCAGTACTGGGCTGTGAATGTTTCTGTGCGATTTATAAGCTGGTCCATGGGCAAAAAAACAAAAACATAGTGTAGGTGACACTTTCTTGGGGGGGGGGGGGTGCTGGCAGTGAAATTTTAAATTTCATAGGTTGTAGGTTTACTTGATGGGGTACAAATATGTATTAATAACTCCGCTACTACTAGAGTACAGATCATGAGTTTGCGCGAGAAGTTGCGTCACGATTCATTAATGATTAGAAAACATCAGTATTTATCTTGTGTTATGCGTGACTTGTTCCTTCAGTAGTTCACAAAGATTTACAGAATTAACAGATATAGTGACAAATATAGTAACTGCTTGGGATAAAACATAATTCATTAATGATGAATTAACATGAGATCAGTATGTAGCTAAAACTTAGTTTGTGGTTAATTGATACATAAGTAATAGAATAGTACCATATTATTTTTACCCTGTCAAAGTAAACCAATAAGTTTAACCACTGAGTTTTTCCTGAGGCTGGGCAGGGTCCCTGAATTTGCCGGGCTCCTAGTCTAAGGTCACCTATCCATTAATCTGCTCCTGCTGTCGCATTACTAAATTGCTTTTATAAAATCTGTATCCTGGTCTCTCTGCAGTGGAACCTGGTCTGTGGAAACAGCTGGAAGATTCCCTTGCAGCACGTCTGCTTCATGCTGGGCTGGATACTTGGCTATGTTTTGCTTGGTAGCTTTTGTGACAGGTGAGCGTCACTCGCGGGACGCTTGTGCGTCTTTCGGCGTCATGTGTGCGCCGGCCTCATGCGCCAGCTGCGTGTTCTGTGCGCAGGTTCGGCCGCCGTCGCGGCTTCCTGCTCTCCATTGGACTGTCGGGCTCGCTGGGCGTGGCCGTCTGTCTGGCCAGGGGGCCCCTTATTTTCCTTCTGCTGAGACTCTGCCAGGGGGCCGCGCTGTCCGGCGCATTCCTCTCTGCCTACATTACACGTAAGTATCTTTTCTGATGCCCCCCCCCCCCTCAATATTTATTAGGTACTGATCAGGCATGTAGCCAGGTATTAAAATAACTAGTTTGAAACCCCCCTGGTTAGCAAAATTGATTGAGGGAGACACCTTTCAAAATTTATTTCTGGCTACATGCCTGCAACTCAAGTATGGGGTTCAATGGTGTTTAAACTCTGCAGCCTGAGGCAACAGTGGCAAGGAAAAACTCCCTAGAAGGAAAAAACCTTGGGAGGAACCAGACACAAAGGGGGAGCCCATCCTAGTGTGGAACACCCCCTAGTGTGTTAGCATAGAGCAATAGCCAGCCAGCAACATTATACAGTATACACAAGTAAGTGAAGTGAGACATTTGGATGCAGTGCAATGGGACAAACCACCTGGACAGTCCAGTGCAGAAAATTCCCTTTTCCTGTCATCGCAGTTAGTGAGGCAGCTGCCTCATAGTGGCTGGTTGAGGTTTTGAGCAATATACAGTCTAGGTCAGGGGTGGCCACTCTTATCCGCAAAGGGCCGCTGTGTATGCGGGTTTTCACTGCAACTCCTTAATTAGATTACTAATTAGAGGACTGATTGGCTGAAGAGTCCTCACACCTGGGTTTGAACAGCTGACCTACAGGTTATCCCAAAAACCTGCGTACACACCGGCCCTTTGCGGATAAGATTGGCCACCCCTGGTCTAGGTTAACACTAGTGCTTCAAGGTGAGATGGTTGACAGGTCTCTCAGCCTGGCAGAGCAGAATCGGGCCGTAGCTGGTTACCCATCTGTGGGGATCTGTGTTTATGGTTCTGGGGAAATGGACGAGGCCTCCATGACACCAGCGAGCTCACATTAGCGTGAGCTAAGAGGTCAGGAAGTCACAGGCAGTGGGATTCTGTTCATTTCTACCCACATTGTTCTATCCCAAGAACTTTCCTGTCATTGTCCTGGTGCGTGCCTGCATGTGCGTGTGGGTGGATCGAGGGTGTGGTGATATATTTGTGTTGGGAGGTTTGCTGTGGAATACCAAGGACTGTAGAGGCAGGGAGAGCGAGCTAGACCGCAGTCCTGCTGTTTGCACATTCTCTAACGTGCCGATTAGGTCCACCTGGGCTGGGGGGTGGGGGGGGGGTCACAGGCACCTTGTGTGTCTGCTCAGGTTTAAACCTGTTATGTTTCCCATGTCACACTGAAAGGAGTTTTTCCAAACTGGAAACCAGCCCCCATACATGCTGGCTGACTTACTGGCCGTCGCTAAAACCTCTTCTCAAGGTCTCAGAAACAATGAATGACCCTGAATAGACAATAGCAAAACAGTTAAGAGAAAGAACTGAAACAGTATGGTTAAGGTTAATTTCCTCTCTTTTGGTTTATGAAAAGAAAATATTTAAACTCCATATGCTCCAAGTACCAGCAAATATCATACAGGCTGATATTTTAAAGGAAAGCACAAATACATGCTGTCTAAGTTATAATATCTCTCTCCCTCTTCTAGGACTAGAAATATGCGACCCACCTCACCGACTTATGATGACGATGATTGGTGGGTTCTTTGCTGTTGGTGCAGAGTTGCTGTTGCCAGGGGTGGCAGTGCTGTGCCGTGATTGGCCAGTACTGCAAGCTGTAGCCACCCTGCCACTCTTATTGCTGCTTTCCTATTGGTGGTGAGTTGGCAGATGTTGACCCTGCTTTTTGGAGGTGCCATGTAGCTGATGTGTACATCAGCGTGTGTCTATGTCCCTGTAGCTGTGCCTCGCGCTTCCCCGAGTCTCCTCGCTGGTTCTTGGCCACCTATCAGATCTCTCAGGCCAAGAAGGCACTGCAGAACATCTCCACCCAGAACAAGGTGTTTCTCGGTGAGGAGATCTACCCGGCTGAGAGCCTGCTGTCAGGTAGGGTCATGTGACCATGCCAGTGTCCACTCCGCAGTGATAGTTGACACCTATGCTCTGAAAACCCCCTCGTCGGTATCCCAGAATTCCTATTTTCGGTCCTATTGCATCTTTGCTCCCTGTCTCGTTCTCACCTTTGCCCCAGTCTTCTCACCCAGGGTTGATTCCTCCTGGGACTCCCATGGGAATTTGACGAGCGGGGGATGGGAGGGGTGGAAGTATGCGATGTGGCTGCGGATGCGGCCAGAGCCATAAGGCCTCGCTTTGTGCCGGGGGCCTTTAAACGTCCCCCTAATGTTCGCGTCTCTGGCTCTAATTCCATTTGGGCTGTGCAGTGTGCAGCCCTGGGAGGAACTTCTGTGGGCTGCACTGCAGATTCCGGTGCTGTTTGGGATGCCAGAGGCCGGGGGGGATGGGGGGGGGGGGGGGGGGGGGGGGGGTATCAGGAGCTCACTCGACAGAGATGGAGGAGCTCTGCATTCAGGAACATTCTTGTCACTATTACCTCATTTATACATTCTAGAAGGGTTTCCTAGCAGCGCTGCTAGTGATTGTGATTGCTGAGGCATGACCACTGTTGCTCCCGTTTCACGGCGGATGTTTCTGGTTTCCTCCCACCCCCGCGCTCCTTGCTCCCCCCAGAGATTGATGTGGCATACCCGGAGGATTCCCCGGCCCGGTACCACCACATCCTGGAACTGTGGCACACTCGCATCATCTGGAGGAACTGCCTCATCCTGGGCTTCACTCTGTGAGTGCTGCAGGCCTGACCCCAACAGCTCCTGTCCTTGTCTTCTGCTTCCACCTCATGTGATTAAGCAAAATTAACTTAGGTGGAGGGGGGCACTTAATGCCCGTTCTCTAATTTCTTTTTGGAGAGTTTTCTTTTTGGGCGCGGTGTGTGGCTTGGGATGAATAGGACACTGTATTTGTGATCAGAAGGTTGCTGGTTTGAATCTCATGCTTGGCAGAGTAGCCGTTTCCCCTGTTAGACCCTTGACCAAGATCCTGCACCCCCTGAAAAACGCTCCAGGGTTGCTGGATGGACTCTCCCCTCTCTCTCTGTGTTTCCAATGCGCCTCTTCTCAAACCTCGCAATACTACAAATGGCAAATAAAGCTTCATTTCATTTTCATTTCACGCCCCTCCTAGGTTCATAGGCACAGGAATCCAGTACTGCTTCACTCGGAACCTGCACAGCTTCTCCCCAAATTTCTACTTCAGCTACTTTCTGCGGGTGGTGACGGGGGCGGCTGCCTGCGTGCTGCTCTGCCTGTCGGTGGAGCGCTTTGGTCGCAGGGGCGTCCTGCTCCTTTCGGCCATCGTCACGGGCCTGTCCTCGCTCCTGCTGCTGGCCCTCACCCAGTGTAAGACCTACAGCCAGAAACCGCTCAGCCCCATCCATCCATCCATCCATCCATCCGCTAAGCACTTGTGCTGGTCTGGGTGGCGGCGGGGGTGGGGGGGGGGCACAAATAGGGGGACACTTCAAAACACTTGGAGGAAACAAATCTGGGTTCAGTATCTCATTGTCCAACCTGTTATTTCTAGATATGGGATGTAGGATTTACGTTGGTTGTTCCAGCAGTTTGTATTGTCACTGAAGAACATATGGAGAGGAATTTGCTAATGTTCTGAATTGCATGTAAATTTATTGAAATACACGACCCACCGGCGTGCCGGTACTCCGCGGCACAGGCGCCCTTCACCATCACAGATGACGGGTGCCCGCCGACGCCACCTGGTGATGGTTTGTGGTAATTAGCAGAGGCGCGGGGGCCCGCTCTCAGTGCGCTGTCCCACTCTGTGTGCACAGACCTGCAGAGTGCCCTGGTCCTGCTGCTGTCAGCGATCGGCCTCCTGGCCTCCCAGGCCTTGGCAATGCTCAGCGTGTTCTTCGGCGGCGAGGTCATGCCCACCGTGGTCCGGTAGGTACCAGCTCCCACCACCACCACCCCACCCTCTTTACTTTACACTGAGGCCTCCTCTATGGCGGCATTGCGTGCTTCGGTTCATTGACAGGAAAGGGTGGTGGGTCGCAACCAAAAAGTGGGTCACAGGACCATTGGGTTAATTGGGTTAAAAAAAAAAAAAAAAAGTTTTGATTTTTTTCAGTGTCAGACTTTTTAACAGTGTGTGAAGGCATTGCTGTGGCATTTTTTTTTTTTACAGTTTGTTCAAATTCTTAAAAATTTGGGTCATGACATATTGACCAATGAAAAATGTGGCTGCTGAGGCTAAAGCTGCTTAGAACTCCTGATGTACTGGATGACGTTCAGCGTGTTGTGGATGCCCAGGGATGCGAAATGCCAGCGGCCTGGGAAGTGCTTCCTGCATCCTCTCCAAAGCCCTGGCAGTCGGGCAGGTCTAACAGACACTCCAGCAGGGTCACCATCTCCTGTGCTGAAGAGCGTGTGTCTGGTGCCAGCTGCTAGGTGTCTGTGTGTGTGTGTCTCCATCGCCCCCTGCTGACCCGATACTTCCCGCCTCTCTCCTCAGCGGTGGAGCCCTGGGCCTGGTTCTGGGTGCAGGCTGTGTCGGCATGGCAGCCTCCTCCCTCATAGAGCTCCAGAACAATGGTGGCTACTTCCTGTACCACGTGGTGTTCGCCTCCTTCGCCGTGCTCTCCGTGCTGTGCGTCATGCAGCTGCCCGAGAGCAAGCGCAAGCCGCTGCCCGACTCGCTGCGGGACGGCGAGAACCAGCGTCGCCCCCCCCTCTTCCCGGACCGGGACGAACGCGACGCCCTCCCCCTGCTCAGGACCCCGACAGCCGCCTCTGATTACGACCCTGAAAGCTACTCGCGCCTGGTCACCGCCACCAAGAAGATGCTGGGGAGAGAAAGGCCGTATATGACGGCAGCGTCGTCACACTGCCCCCTGCTGGCCACTGATGCACATGACGCTCAGGAAGAAAAAGCATTGCACAAAGAGTCTTCCTAAGCCCATCCCCTACACACTGTTACCACTAAAACCCATGGGAGTCTCCCCTTGGGATCAAAGGGACTACAGTCTGAGCTGGACTCTGAGCCCGCCCCTATATCGGGAGTAGTCCGCAGAACCGGGTGCTGTCAGTGTTGTGTTGCTTGAGACAAAATTAAAAATGACCGTTCAGCTGTCGGGTCTTGATCTGAGGCTGTGGATCAGTGTCTCCCAGCTGTATCCTTCCTCCATGTACTGGTACAATTTTAGAGCCATTAATGGTCTCATCCTGTGTTACTGGCACATGGCTCTCAGTTTTGGCTTGACCGTATTCGTCAGATTCAGGATGCAGTGCAGGACTTACGTGAGTCTGCAGTCTGTTTCACTGGTCAAAAAAAAAAAACAGACTTGTACGAACATCGTTCATTTGCTCTCAGATCTTGACTTTTTTTTCCTCAGTTTGCTCATGTTGTTTCAGTTACTGTGCCAGGCTGCTGGAACGGTTTTTTTTTTTTAAAAAAAAGAGCGTTTGTTTTGCCATCGCCCAGTGTCACTGAGAACTAAGTCAACACTGCTGGGGAAGTTTCTGGCAAAGGAATGCAGGCCTGCGTGTTTGCAGTGCCCTTTGCACGCGGGACTTGTGTAAGGAGGAAGCACACTTTGACGCTGCAGTAGATGCAACCTAGAAGTTCTAGTGTGGTTTGGAGCTGGAGACAGAGCCCTTAGCATCTTACGTCAGTGTCAAGCTCTTTATGGAAGCCCCAGTGCCTCGTATCTGCAGCTGGATGGACGGCCGCGAAACACACAAACTCGGTGTGGCCTAAATGTCTGGAATCTATGCTCATTCCATCCTGCCTCTGCAGCTACTTCTCCTCACATTTAGGTGACTCTGCATGTTTGCCTGGTTTGTGGTAGTAAGTGATGGTTTTTGTATTTTTAAGAGTGAAATATCCTTTTTATTATTTTGCAATAAAATCCTATGAAAAGATCTGTACCAAAAAGCTGGGTTTGTATATCCGTATATGAACGAGATCATTCTAATTTAGATGCATAGATTTTATTATGGAGTTATTTTAATTAACTCGTTACCAAAATCTAATTGGAGTAATTAGTAGTGAAGTAATTAAAATAGATTAGAGATTTTTAATTAACACTACGGTGTATAAAATGTTCAGATTTTTCTAGATAAGGTTTGCGCCCCCCTCCCAATTACAGTGTTCAGCCCTCACCAAACGATTTGTTGGCCGGGTGCCAGTTAGTGGAGTGGAGTCAGTGCTCAGAAATGACACTGGAAGCCACTGTGTACCCAGTGTCTGTCTCTGCAGGTCCTGCATGTCTGGATGCATTAATGGGGTTGCTGTTCTTAAACTGCGATGTTTAAAACCTGCACTCGTATTTTAAACTTATTTTTATAAATACTTTGTTTACACAACTTTCCTAAAACTGAAGGTATGGTCATTTAAGAAGCACTGGTTGACTTGAGGGCTGCAGTGTAGCGTTTCAAATGACACTTGAAAAGTTCTTCAACTTTAACAGTTTTCCCTTTTAGCACAAGATGGCGCTAGCGGTGCATAAATTTAGCATCTAATAGCTCTTATGGCTTAAACTACATGCCTTGCAAGCCTGGCTGTATCAAAGGGATCCGACAGGAGCCTTTCATCACTATGTGATTCCAATACATAAACTAATCATTCATGCACATGAATGACATAAATGGATTGGACTGCAGGTGATGGGAGATGAGCTAGCTATTTTTTCACGTAATGTTTTCACACCGCATTTCTGCCGATTTTAGTTTTTGCTTTGCCGTATTTCTCAAATGGCAATTAACATTTGCAGAATAACGAGTGTAACCCCCACACCATAATGTCACTTCTGCACAGCAAAACGTCATTTCTCAATGCTTCACACAAATTTCCAAATATTTTATTACAGGTATGCAAATAATTTCGTACAAGTATCACGTGGTTTTCAGTTGCTTTAGTCTCATTGGTCAAAATGGATTCCGTAGTTTTGCATAGTAATAGTTTTACCCCCAAAACTGTATATGAAAGCGATCATCCTGTTAGCCGCCCCATGCAGAACAGTTCACCAAGCTTTCAAAATGATTCAAAAATATACTCCATGAATTTTAGCGATACAACATTGTTCTATTTTTAGTTTCCACAGTACATGATTTTGTTATTGTGTTTATACATTTCTTTGTGACTTTATTTGTTTGCTGTAGTACCGTGTCTTGAGAAGTTACATGGGCATGCGAGTGCTTTCTCCTGCCAGTGAACTTTATATACTGTAATGCAGAACCTTTCAGTGTTGAAACTGGTGTCTTTGACATGAAAAATAACGAGTTTGCTAAAGAAAAATGATCAGTCAGTGATAGTGAGGAAGCGGGAAATTATCAGAATTGTGGAGCACAGGAGCAGACTTACACTGACAATATATCTAAGCATTTTGGCTAATTCATTGGTGGATTTATTTATTTTTAAGACATGAGTTAATTGTTTTGGGTGGGATATGGGCTTTTGCAGGTAAACCATAGTGTTGCGTACTATGCATAAATCGTTCTGAGAAATGCTCCTATAGAATGATGAGCATGTTCCATGAAATGCCAAAGCAATTGAGAAACACTGTGAGTGTAAACCCAGCCAGTCCATTACACTGTAACAAGAGCAGGGCAACGGAAGTAGTATTGGGTGAGCAGTGAAGCCTGCTGCTTCTGCAAACTTTAAACTAAATTTACGACACAAAATGACCTCAGTAATGAATGAATCATAAACTTTTCTCATATATTTGGTATAGTCTGCATCTTCATCTGTTTCTGGCCATAGGTACTGTTAGGTATCTTTTAATCGTTTTGATCAGTAATAACTTGGTAAGCCATTTTTTAAAATTATTTTGCAGTGTCGTCAAAGCCGTGAACATGATAAGGCTGCTGTGTGCGAGAGGAGATAAGAGTGCAGCTTCCGGCCTCAGTCTACAGGCTCCGGGCTCCATGCTATAAGAGAACCATCAAACACAGGCCCAGTACAGTCACAAAACTTGTGGTGATGCCATTATATCATGATGGTACTTTATTTGTCAATTGTATATACAAGTATGGAAACATTGGAATTCTTTGGTTTTAAAATAGCCCACCTTGGTCTCCTGTGAGAGCAGAGCTTGGGGCAGGGCAGTGGGTTACCTTTTGGGTGTGAGGGCTTTGCTGTGATTACTCTGCAGGTCATGGGATTCAAACCACTGATCTTCTAGGTACCGGCGCAGACTCGTAACCAGCAGAGCCACAGTCTTTGCTTGGGAGAAACCTCCTATCCTTTCTCCACTGTGGCCTTCATACCTTTATAATTCTGCAGTTAGCATGGTTCTTTTAATTTTTTTGAACTGGGGAATTAGGTTAGGAAAAACTGCTTTGTCCATCTGAAGAGGCCACCGTGTGGTTGTCATCTCTGTCCCATAACCATCAGTCTGCAGTGCAGCGCTACCTTTCTGTTACCGCCATCTAGAGGTGGGACAGGGTTTGTGCCAGGATCAGCAGCATGGGGCTGAGGGGCAGGAGGCTGCTGGCGCTGTCGTCCGGCGGGTAGCCGTAGCTGGTCCTGCAGGGGTTCTGGACCTGCTCATAGGGGATCGGCACGTCGTCTGGAGCAGTCCGTTTCATGCTATCCCGCACCTGCGAGCAGGAAGGGGATGAAGTGCGGAGTCAGAGGGGCCATGCCGTCCCAGGATACGTGGGATATCATTGGGATTTTATAGTTGGAGTTTATGGTGGAACATTTTCCTTAATGGCTTTTTACTGTAACCAGCGTGCTACTGCTGATTGGCTGTTAAACTTTAAACAGAGTTATAAAGCGGGGGCGGGGGCGGGGGTGGGGGTGGGGGTGGGGGCGTGACAGCATGTGACTGCTGCTATAAAGGGAGACTCATACTTTCTCTACCGCTTTGAAGACCCTCAGCAGGTTTTCCCCCAAGGCCATCTTCACTTCCTGGTCTGACCAGTTCCTCCTCAGCAGTTCTGCTACGAGATCGGGATACTTAGAGACGTCCTCGAGGCCTTCGGGGACCCTAGGAATCGGCATCAGGTCTTCAGTTAGCCCTCATTCTCATTTGTATACTGTTCACATAAGGCAACTGAGATTAACAACCAGAAACCATGATGAGCGAAAATATTCTGTATCTGCTGTGCTGTGGAGTCTCTTACCTTCCAACTCCGTCATAATCCCCACCAAAACCAATGATGCTTGCGTCAGCCACCTTCTTAATGTAATCAAAGTGATCTGCGAATGACAATGAAAAAGGAATAACTTGGCAGACTGCCCCCCCCACAGCAAGACAGTTGGAACTTGCAAGCCCGTCGTCATGACCACTGACCTGCCACCTGCGAGAGATTGGCTCTGCTACTGCAAGTCACATAGTCATTGTAGAAGTTCACCATCACCACGCCTTGTTTGTCTTTCTGGAGGGGGAGGCATTTAGTTGATTACCTTGGTGAAAAGGATGGGGCCTGTGACAGATTGGGGGACGGAGGCCAATGTCCTGTTTGTGTATCTGTAACTGTATCTCTATCTGGATGCTGTTCATCGTCACCCCATGATATAATGGCGGTGGCCATTGTGCTCAGGAGTATATATACCCAGACAGTGCAGGTAATGTTTCTGACATACAAAATACAGCATATTTATACAGAAATGCATACGTCCTGCACCCTGACACAGCAGATTGACAATTTGTGTCCAGAATTGATTTGTTACGGTTAAGGGGATCTTTGGTAACCAGCTTCAACTGACAGTTCATATTGATAAAGATTCAACATTAATGTGTGATTTACATTAATATATTTATCAGACATTTTTATCTAAAGTGAAAACAGGGCCCGACAGTCCTTGGAACTATTGGGGTTAAAGGTCATGCTGAAGGGCCCAACAGGAAAACCACTCTGCCAAGCATGGGATTTGAACCAGTGACCTTCTGGTGACAGGCACTGCATCCCCCACTGACCCACTGCTGCATATGCCACAGTAATTGTACAGTTTTTTTTTTTTACTTTCTACTAAGGTCAAGTGTTCAGGAGGTTCCTTCTTTTTCTGGCGTGTTCAGACTGTCTCACTGCACTGTGCATTTATTACACAATACAGTGACACAGTGTTCCCATTGTCCTCTGGTTTTATGGGTTACTGCAGCATAATTCCTCTGTCTGGTAAATGGTAAACATAATTATGTCCTGAACTAGTACCAGTCTTCCTGCTGCCTAGTTTTGTTTTGTGTGAGTAATACAACTCTTGACTTTGTCTCCTGTATTTTCCAGAGTTCTCAGCTTTAGGTCGGCTCATTAAAGTGTATGAGTGGTTATGATTCAGAAAACATGTGTCTCTTTGCTATTTTGGTGTCTTTACTAAATCTGGCCCCTTTTTCTCGCACTCACCACCATACTGAGCACCTCGTCAGGCACATTTCTCTTGCTGGGACACACGGCGAAGGCGGAGGAGTGGCTGAAGATGACCGGTGCCTCTGACACCTGCAACACCTTCTTCATCACCTCCACGGAGACGTGAGCCAAGTCCACCAGCATGCCCAAGCGGTTCATCTCTCTTATTAATCGCTGGCAAAGGAGTGCAAACTTTCCCCATTAAGCCAGATCAGAGAACAGTAAACCATCCATTCAATACAGTGTTTCTCAAACCAGTCCTCGGGGACCCACAGGCAGTTCCTGTTTTTGCTTCCTGGAGGAGGGTGCAAAAATGTGGACTGTTTGGCAGGGAGCTGGGAGAGAGCAAAACCATCTGGGGGTCCCCAAAGACTGGGCCAAGAAGCACTGATGTATTTTATTACTGCGGAGCTGAGATATTCCTCTAGCATCATTCAAAAATATTCTAGTTTGGCACGTTCAGAAGCTAAAAGGGAATTGCCATCCTCTTTTCCTTAAGACAAAAGTTTCTGGGAAACATGATGTTTCAGGTAAATTTCTAGATGTTTCTAAATAGAGTGGAAACCTAATGCTGAATTTGTTGTGAAGGTTTTTTTATAGATTGAAAAACACCATTGTGTTTCTGCATTAACTTGGAACCCATAATACGGTCAGATCTTTGAAATATACACAAAAGATTACACTGCAGATGTACAGTCACCTGGTAATCAATAGGACATTCAATGGGAGCTCCTTTGTAGTGAACTCACAATTCCAAACTCTGAAAGTCCATTGTTCTCAGACGGTGTAGATCCGGTGTCCACCAGCCAGTTATCAGCCCTGAACAAAGGCATCACAGAAGGTCAGATTAGTGCCTAACACTGCCTGTTACTGAGCAGTTTCACCATCAATCCACAAATGACATCACAACCAGCAAAGGACAAAACCAAACATTCTTTTAGTCACATTACGCTGAGTCACACCAGTGTCACACAGGAATCACTCACATATCTAAAGAATCAGACGTTACACACGGAACATGCGAGCAAGGATATAATGATTTAATGTTGAGCAGGCATGGTGAGTATCTAATGTCTCGCACCATCATACTGTCCTGTCATTTTACCATGATGCAAGGTATTTTGCCAGTATCCCAGAGCAAGGCTGGGGTGGGTGTGGGGAGGGGGGGTTTCCTATCATAAGTTTCACCGAACAGAAAATTGTATTGTGTCTAATGCAGTGGTGTAATAAAGTCAAACTGCCAAAGCCTACAGTTAATCAACAGATAACTGGACAAGTAGGTAGCCCCCTGCCAAGGTGAGCTGGGGGTAGGGTCGCTGGCTTGGAGCTCAGGGTCTTCGAGGTACATGCTTACCATGGTGTATTGCAGCTGTGCGTGAGTGTGAGGTAGCGCACCCCCAAGAGGTACATGCTTACCATGGTGTATTGCAGCTGTGCGTGAGTGTGAGGTAGCGCACCCCCAAGAGGTACATGCTGCGCAGCGAGCCCAGGCTGCTGTCAATGGAATGGCCGCCCTCTATGCCTATTAGACTGGCCGTCTTGTTCTGCACAAAGGCGTCCATTATATCTGTAGCATGTTGTGAGTAACAGGATCATTTCCGGTTAGGGTTTGTTCACTTGCCCTGGATAAATGAGCTAGTGTTAATCTGAGCGGCTTCACACACACTTCATGCTACAGCCCTTTACCTTGGCTGCTTTCAGCAAATGTGAGTTCTTCTGGGTATTTGTCACACATCCTGTGGATTAAATCTATCTGCTCGAGCGTCTGCCTGACAGCATCCTTGTTCTGCGTTTCACACGGAACGTAAGCAGCCCAGAACTGCGAAAGGAGAGAGGGGAGACAGCATAACAAAGCAACATTTCTCCCGGTGATGTAAGTCTTAAAGATGATCATGTCGCCATGCTGCAGGGATGAATGCGCACTTTTATAATCTCCGCTATTAATGTGCATGTTTCTGTACCAGTTTAAAAGCTCCCTTTCACAACTCTCATGAAGTCTTCGCCCGCAGCCATCCATACCTGTGCCGCCAGTCGGCCAGCCTTGATTTTGGGGATGTTGGTGTGCGTGTTGTTTAGCGAATGCAGGTCTACATGGTTGAGTTGGTTGTTAAAGAGTATCTTCAGCTGCCAGGGCAGATCGTTGTGCCTGCCAGACAAGAGGAAAGAAGTCTGTCTGAATGAAGTCACTGTTTGTTGAAACGTTTATGAAAATTGCAACAGTTGCAATGCGAGATTACTAAAACAAAGTGTTGTACTAGCATGTATTTATATAGTGTATGTACAACCTTGTGCAAATAATTTGAAATAAGTTGTCGCGTCTATGTGCAGACAGACTGACCACAGTTAAGGCTCTCGTCACCGTTACATTGATTCATACTTATTGCCTTGGGTTCAGATTTAGGACCTGGTGTATTGATAAAATCATATGGGAATAACCCAGGATGCACCAATCCATCGCACAGCACACAAAACATTCATGCCTATGGGGAATTTGGCAACTCTAATTAACCTCAGTATATTATTGTAGAATTAGAATTTAGAGGCTAATTGTCATTGTTGACACACCACAGCACACAACAACGAAATGTGTCCTCTGCATTTAACCCATAGCCGTAGCAGGGGGCAGCTAATTCAGAACCCGGGGAGCAGTGCTTGGGGGCGGTACCTTGCTCAGGGTACCTCAGTGGTGCCTTGCTGGTCGGGGATTCAAATCTGAAATATTTCAATTACAAGTGTGTGTCCCTAACCATTAAGCCACCATGGCATGGTGGTACAGTGGTTAGCACTGGTGCCTCACGCTTCTGGGACCCGGGTTTGAGTCTCCGCCACGGCTCCTTGTCATTGTGGGCTTTCCTCTGGGTACTTTAGATGGGTGGACACAGCTCAGTCATATACATTAGGCTTAATCTATCTTATAAACGTCATCAACTATTTAATGAATTTATAATTAAATGCTAGTTTGTGAAAATTCTGGGCAATTCAGAGCACTGCTTCTGTGAAGAAAATGCGTTCAGACGTCATGTGATGGACACCACTGTCCCTATGGGGGTGTGTGGGACGGTTCCTGCTAAAAACCCACCTCTCGTTCCTCAAAAACAAAAACCAGTAGTGAAAAACACACCTGTAGCGTGTTACTGCAAAAGGAAAGTACCTGTTTTAACATTCACATCTAGCAACAGAACTGCAGTGCTCACAGCCTTCTAGATAATTCTTGTTTGCTCACAATATGACTTCACTTTTGTGCCTAAAGAATGACAGACAATATTTTAAGAAAATCCCACATAGCACACAAACATCTGTCCAGCGTCTGTCCGACGTACACAAGTCATGTGTAAACTATCTAATACTCATATCGTTAGCTACTTAGTAAGATGACTATTCAAGGTCAGTTTTGGATCAGCAGCGATTACGACCTGTTTGCAATCTTCCCATAATGTTGCCTAATACATTTAACCTCACGCAGTCATCTTTCCAATTAACAAAAGACTTGAGTATCACATCGTTTCGACATAACTTGTGTACGTCGGTCAGACGCTGATGTGTGCTCTCAGGGATACTTCTAAGATTTCACCTCCCCAGTGAGATCAATGTATCCATCTAACCCATCTTACCCAGTATAAGGTCACGTCAGACCTGCCCAGTGGCATCAGAAAGAATTTGACATGGAGGAGTATTGAATCCCCCCCCAGGTGGCAAATTAAGTTTTTCGTTAAAATCAAGTAATTGAGTTTAACCATGTAATTGTGAGAGGCAGGACTCAAACCCTCAATGCTCGGGGAAGGAATCGGAAACGTCTGTTTGCTTCAGTCGGTTAATAGTCTGGAAGCTGCATGGGTATTGATGGACGGCGGTAGAATTACCCGTCGATCAGAGGAGTCGTCCTCATGAGCTCCAAAGCTCTCTCCCGGTACTGATCCGCTGCGGCGCCAAGTGTGAGAACTCCCACCACGGCCCAAAATGCTGGAGTTAACCTCATACTTATCGTCTATTGGACGTGTTTGCTAACAAAAACAAAAGTAAATGAAAGGTATCAGTGGCCCAGCTCCTCTGTAGGCTGGGGTCCAGGGCAGTGAAAAGGTCTGACTCGCCATTTGGTTATATAAGGAACTGAGTTAATGGATGATAGAATCAGGAGAAACATACCATGGAAAAAAATCTGCTGATGTTAAAATTCAGGAAAAGCTTATTAATAATTGATACCAACCGGTTGCAAAATAATCAAAACCCCCATAAACCTATGAAATGCCTGCAACCATAAAATTCATAAAATTTGTACAGTGGGCAATAAAAATGTGAGGAATGCATGACTTTGTCAGTGGGAGGGGAGCCTCTATAGAGGCCTTGTGAAGAGCTGAAAGGGCCTTGGGTCTATGGGGCAGAAAAGTGCGATTCACTTCCAGCATTCTGGAGTTACGTGGAGGATGGGCAAGAAATGGGATGGCGTGTTTAGGCATGAGAGAGTCTTTTAATTAAGTCACAGTGGCTTAGATCCATACATGTCAGAGCCCTGATGTCTTTCATAGACAGTAACATTAGAGTTGTATACATGCTAATGTGTCTATATACATATGTTTGGTGGTTGATGTGATAACTGTATAACTATTAACATGAAAATACTGACACGAGTGTTTATGTACTGTGCTTATCAGTGCAGTGTGCTATGGCCACCGAAACAAGGCTTCAAGCCACAGTATTGAACAGACCATAAGAACATAAGAACAGAAGAAATTTACAAACGAGAGGGGGCCATTCGGCCAAGCAGCTGTTTGCACATGTGGATGTAAGAAGCACTTCTGCTCCCCATTGTGCGTACAGATGACGGCCGTTCATACGTGTTGGAATCTGTGAGATATGCACCGTGTGCATGGACTGCATGAAACAGACCTTTGCTACGTTTTGTTGATATATCTTGATATATTTATTCCTTGCAAAGAAAAAGCATCGGTACAAGATCAGAGAAGTGTAGCAATGAACTCTAGCACACTTTTTTGATCATAGCTAAACACAAAAGCTTAAAATAAATACGGCACAACAGACGTGGCTAAGGTGTGAAAGGCCACTAAAGCAGAGGCAATTTCTCCACTGAGCAATAAGACATTTCATATGGTTCGACTCTGGCTTATCTAAACTGATTCGACTTTGCTTGTTAATCTAATAAAATTATGCAATAAATCCGGCAGTCAATAAGCATATAATTTTTGGGCATCACTTTTTTCTGTCTTTTTTTATCATGAATGTAATTTATCTTCAAGCCTCTGGTTTTCATCAATCTTATCTTCCAACCTGTTTTTTTTCCAAGCAGGGCTTGGAGTCTGTCCCAGGTAGTACAGGGCTTGGGGCTGAGTTCATTGTAGGCCACACACACAGACATACACTACGTTGTGATTTGAAAGCTCCAAATAGCCTAATTGCATGTCTCTGCGCTATAGGAATTAACCCACACACTATCAGCAAAGCGTGCAACCTCCAAGCATGTAGGAAGGAGGGTGAGATTCAACCCCCAGTTCCTCTAGGTGTGAAACAACAATGGACCCAACTCAGCCATCCCGCTGCTCACCCCCTATTTGTCTAAAAACAGTATTTTTGGAGATGATGTGAATGTGGTTGACATTCATGTTATTTCTGCTGACTCAGCTTCTAGTAAGCTAAAAACTTTTTTCCTTTCTCAGTTTTTCCCCACTACTGTGTGGAATATAGGTTGGCAACTTAGATGTACTGAAAATGTCAACTTTTGTCTGGTTCGTGTCACCTTTTCATTCATTTGTTACAATATTGCCTATTTAAAATATAATAGATTGAATGGTGAATAGACACTGTGTGAACCTGACTATGTATATTACTACAATAGACACTATTTGAATAGATTGTTTGTTTGTTTTTTTTCGCTAATGGAAAACAAATTAAAAGTGAAACATGACCCAAGTGATTTACTGTCACTTCACTTATTCAAATGCCTGACACAAAAGCCAGAAAAAAGGTGTGTCACTTGAACCAGATATACAGTATACAGTCAATGGCCAAGTCATACAGCCAGTCACCAGTGACTCCACAGGAAACACCGTAGAGAAAAGGTGCTGGACAACCGAAGAGTCAGAGGTAGACGTGGGATTGGCTTCAGCTGGACATTTCTACAACACTTTTCAGAAAGAGGATAAAGTATGGCAATTTTGTTTTTTTAAAATACAGTGTATATATATATATATATATATATATATATATATATATATATATATATATATATATATATATTTTATTTTACTATTTCCAACCCCCATATTTTTCAGCTTTCTAACGACTTGGCCACAGGGCAGTGTATAAAATGGGATAAGTAATATAAGACAGTTGGGAAAGGGTGTGTTAGATTTTCAAAGAAAAATCTCCCTGGGACAGTAAGCACCTTACTGACTACTCCCGTCTGGGATATAAAAACAATATCACATTTCAATATATTTCTCATAAAAATTAAGCAAGCTGAAAGCAAAAAATGACTCATGTTTCCTTCCACTTCCACTCCTTGCATATATACCACAGAGAACAGCTCACGCTCACAGTTCCCTTCCAAGCGGCGAGCATGGCCAGACTGGATGTGACAGAGACCTTCCACAACATCGCCTTCCCTGGACACCTGCACACTCAGGAGTCTCTCCACTACGCCGTCAATTTCCAGTTCCAGGACACAGACACGCTCATTGTATCGTACCCCAAGTCTGGTGAGTATGACAAACTAGCAAGGGTACAGAATAGATACCTGGCTTTAAACAGCATTCAACATTGTTGCAGAGCACTTGAGGAGTAAGTTGTGTACCTCAATTATACTGTAATGGGACACTATTAAACATTCACTGTGGAAAAGGTATGCCAACTGAATATTCGATTAGTAAAGTTAGCTTTGGATGAAACAGTGGAGTAAATAAAACAGTAGATGTCCTCTTTCTCTCGCAAAACCAGGCACTACCTGGATGCAGCAGATTCTGACACTTTTGTACAGTCAGGGTGATGAAACCGTGTCCCGCACCGTCCCAAACTGGGCACGGGCACCGTGGCTGGAGCAGTACTACTTCCCCAAAGTTCTGGAGATGCTAAAGGAGCCGCGGATCATCACCACCCATCTGCCGTACCACCTGCTAGCTCCCGTCCTCGAGGGATCTAAGGCCAAGGTACAGCCAGGAGCTGGATCTCTCTTTCAGAGAATCATCGTCCACCTGTCATATTTTGCTGATTCTTTACGGTAGTTAGGCTTTGTGAACAGCTGCACCTGCATATCCCCCTGTGCTCCTAGTTCTTATTACAGGACACTGTTCAACCTCAGGTCTTTCCTTTTCTCTATGTCTCTGTCTCTCTATCTCTCTCTGTCTTCATTCTCAGGTAATTTATGTTGCTAGGAATCCAAAAGATGTCGCTGTGTCTTTTTATCACTTCCACAAAATGGCCAACTTCTTACCCGACCCTAAATCCTTCGAGGAGTTCCTGGAACATTTTCTTGAGGGAACTGGTAAGTCGTCTTGTTATATGGTGTCTCGTGTTTTTGCTTAATGACTGATTGCTTTGTTACAAAATCTTACGCACTTTTTTTTTTCTTCGCAGTCAATTATGGTTCCTGGTTTGATCATGTGAAGGGCTGGACCAGTTCGGGAAGAAACAATCTGAACTTTCTCTACATAACTTATGAGGAGATGTGGGAGGTACGGTAAATCAGTTGGTTTGCATTTGTTAAACTGTGCCTTGCATACACCATGAAAGTAATATCTCTTTGTTGTTTCTGGAGCACTTAAAAAGTTTGGGCTCCCCCTGCCCCCTCATTTTTTAAAAATTAAATAAACAGCTAGCAAATACAGACGCTCCTCTACTTACGAACCTTCAATTTACGAACTTTCTGACATACTAACGAAGAGGACTATAAGTCCAAATTGTGTTTGTTGGGCTCCTGTTTCCTGTCCGCAACATCAGGTTTTGTTCTGCGCACCAATTCCGCCTAGTATGACTTCTGGCCGCTACTCCTGCCGCGCAGCAGCGTAGCGTGCGTACTCCCAGCATCCCAGTTCTTTATACTTGCGTATTCCCAGGGATTGACAACTGGTACGCAAGTATGCATTCACCTTTAAAAGCAATACATGCTGCAATCAATTGTTGTAACAGTGTGAATGCGTACGTATTTTATGTGCATTTGTGCCGATATGACAAGAAATGATCGGATATTTTAAACTTTATATGCTAATTTGTATTTCATTTGTGTACCAGTTATGTCAATACCTGCGCATACCCTTAAAATGATGTTGAATAACGACTTGCGAACATTTCAAGTTACGAACGGCCGTTCGGAACGTATCTCGTTCGTAAGGAGAGGAGCATCTATATAGTCACAAGATCATAGCTAGCTGGTTAGTGGATTATGCTGCTTCAGCATCTCCTAAATATGAAATGCGTTTATATAATATTTGGTGTAGTGACTGTTTGTGGCCCAAAGGGGGCCCCAAAAGATCAGGGGCCCCAGAAAAATGCATGGTTTACCCCCATTTTCTATCTGGGTGAGAGCATTGATAGCTAGACCAAAAAAATGACCACATTTGCAGGACCTCGAAGGTTCGCTGGAGAAGATCAGCACTTTCCTCCACCGCCCCCTGATGTTGGGTGACATGCAGAAGATTCAGAAGCACTGCACCTTCACCAGTATGAGCAAGAATCCTATGGTGAATTACACCACAGTCGACAAGGAGATCATGGACCATAGCAAGGGGCAGTTCATGAGAAAGGGTGAGCCAGCTAAGATCTCAGTGCTTCACAAGTCAGATCATTTTGACACTTTCCTAAATCTTGAATTAAAAAAATCATTACTGTTTCATTGATAGGGAAAGTCGGGGATTGGAAGAGCACCTTTACCCCAGAGCAGAATCAACGTTTCGAAAATATCTTCAGTTCAAAAATGAAGAATTCACACCTGAAGTTCACCTGGTATATCCAAAGTGACCAATCATCGCAGTGGAGAAATCCACCACTGTTCTGGCCTCCTAAGTCTCAAAACTCAACCTTTCGAGCGAACGGGTGTTGTGCAGACACGAGTGTGTAGAGAGGATGGGTTCTCTGCTTGCGATACATGTAAGGCAAGATAAGACCAATTCAGTTAATTTATATAATTCTCTTGAGATTTATTATCAGTTTATTTATTATTATTTTTATTGAAAATGAGAGGTATGCTGTCAAAAGAAAAGTCCAGAAAGCCACACCAAAAATATTAAAACCAATCTTTTCATGGATAAGGAAGCTTAACAAGGTAACTAAGAGGTAAGAAACAAATTGGATGATAAATTATTATTTTGAGGGTATTTTATGGTTGATTTAAGACACGGGTCGATGGCACTGACCCGTCTAACATAAGAGACAGGAACAGAAAGCTAACATATGACGAAGGTTAAGCAATAATGTTATTTTTTAACTGTTTTTTTTGGTAGCATATGATTTTGGATTTATAAGGTCATTTCAGTGTCCTTCAGTGTCACATCAGTAGACAGAGCAAAACTATATCTGGACATTTGAGGAACATGAATAACCTTCCTCTCTTTGCTGAGAGCTGATGTCTGCGTTGCTGAAAGGAACCTCTGTGTACAGATGCATTAATGTCTCGATTATGGATGTCTGAGACATTAGAAATAGGGAAACTCAACAATAGGGACAACAGAAGAGGAAGCAGAGAGGTGATACAATTGAATACAGGTAGAGAGAGAAAGAGTTAGGGGACCATGGAGAGAAAAATGGAAGGAATAAATCAGAGGTGATACAATATTAGTGGCCAGCAACCCCAAGCTACTCTGAGCTTCGTGTCACGTCACCCCCAACAGTTCAAATGTGCGCTTCCTCAGTAGTGGAATGAGCTGAGGAACCACGTCCAGTTATCACCTTCACCTTCAATAATGTTTTTGTGTAGCTCCTGCTCCAATACTGTGTAAATACCTGTATAAATATTAGATGAATAAAAAACGATAATGAGATATCAATTATCAATCATGAATTATTGAAGACCTAATTATTACTATCGATCTGATCTCATTTGATACTCACATTAAAAATATTCCAAGGACCGTCTTTCTTTAACTGGGAAACACAGCCAAGCTTTGGAGATTCATGTGTCCATGATGCTGAAAAAATCAGTTAATGCATTTATCACTTCAGGATTAATGCAACACTGTACTCTTACCCCTGGTTTCCTCAAAAGGGATTAACCCTAGTCTTGGACTAAATTTGAGTACCAATGGAGATTTACCACTGAAAAGCAAAGCAAGTCTAAGACTAGGCTTAATCCTTGTCTGCGAAACTGCCCCTTAGTGTTCCTAAATGGACATCAGTTAGCTGACAAGAACTGACAAAACTAGGAAGCTCCATGTTGAGTATAAATTGTTGTTGCAAGACTAGCATGATCTTTAATTCTATTATAATCCCTCTCTTGCTTTGACCACAAGGAGTGGGTCACCCATTATTTCCTAAAGTTAAAAACTCACACCAGACAACAAAGCATCTCCCCAAACGTGAAATTCCCCAAACGTGTTATGGCTTCCCACACATGTTTTTACTCAGACACAAAACTAGGTTGAAAACATTCGATAAGGAAGTTAGATAGGCCTGTCACACAACCTACACATTTCCGTCTCTTGCTAACACATTGCTTTCCCCTAACCATCTCTCCACAATAAAGATCACTGTATGTGTATATTTTTACATCGAGCTATTGCCAAATGAGTTTAAGTTCCCGCTTTCAGGCCTTGGTTCCCCTCATGGTTCTTTTCTACTATGCAGTTTTTACTGCAATATAAGGAGGGGGGTGAGAACCTAGATCTCTTTAATGCTCTTTTCAAACAGCATGTTTTCCTTGTGATGCTAATAATTTAGAAGACAAAACCATTACAGGACTGCACTACCTTTTCCAAATGAATGACTCCATCGTGATGGCTAAGGTTCATCATTACTGGAAGTCTTTTGTCCAGTGTCCTAATCCAGAATATGTAGATCGATTAGTCTCTTCTAGCTACATTGCAGTATGTCTGAGACGTCATTGAGGGTACAAGACCGTTCTCATATCAAATATACTCCACGCAGAAGCTTTCTACCCATGGGACCTTTTTTTCTACCAACCCTCACCTTCAACATCATCGCTAATTGATTGAGGAAATATTGCAGGTGAGTACCTTTCTGTGCAACCATATTCAAAACCCAGCTAACAATATGATATCTGTTTCCTTCCAGCTCCTTCTGTACGTTGTAACATAATGTAAATTTGTTTTTTGAGACCTAAAACCACCTAGGTTTTTTCAAGTGTCTTAAAGTAGGGTGACTGGCCTTAACTGTAGGCTACATTTTCGTTTAAAAACGAAAAAAAAAAAGTTTTCAAATGAAATGAGCAAAAACAAATATGATGTAACTGTTAGCCTACACTGGGCAAGTGCGCAGCGACAAAGTGACCGGTAAATTAGTCTCATTTCAGGAACTGCAGCCATTTAAGGTTTCATTTGAAGACCCAATGCATCACAGTGGTCCAACAAGGCTGTCCCATTTCAAAGGTTCTTTCAATGTGGCCTAGAATTGCATTATTTTTCTGGGCCATAAAGGATACACCCGATGGATCCCTCACAGCACAACCTATCCCAAGATTAGGATGCGGCCAACAAAGGCTACGCTGACTGCGTCCGCATCCTGAAATGGGATTTCAGGGGCTGCATCAGCCTAGATATGTATTATTCTTTTGCTGAGATGCCAAGATTTATTGTGCAAACCTTCAAAGGATGCAGTCTACAAAGGCCACAGAGACGATGTCCTTCAAGGCATGCAGCCCCTGAATTCGGACACAGCCAATGAATCTTAGGGTATGTTGGGCTGCAGGTGAAAGGAAGGAAGCATTTCTAGACAGCATTTGAAGGAGCCTTCGAAATGGGACAGCCTTGTCATGCCGCTGGGACGTATTCAGTCTATGAATACAGCCTTTGCAGGATACAGCCCCTAAATTCAGACACACCTCATAAGTAGGGATCAATTAGGGTGCCTTTAGCGTTTAAGTTTTCAAAAGTGTCCATTTTCACTCATTCACACTGCAAGTGTAAAGTGGAGTTTTCAGGAGTGTAAAGGGTGTGAGAATGTTTACTAAAGTCTCTGTCTTTGGGGGCTGAAAACCCCAGAGTAGTGGGGACCAAAGGCAAAAATGCAAACTAATGTCTGTATCTTAAAAATGTAGCAGTGTGGACATAGTCAGGTCTGCTTAGCCGGTTTGTATATTGGACCAGGGTTTTAACTGTGTAAAGTGTCTTCATGCTGCATCAGGAGGCACATTTCACACTTGAATCTAGAAGCTGAGCCCTTTCAGCTTCCTCAAAAATGCCTCATGTATATAATGAACAAGCAATGGGTAAGTAGCAAAATTTTCAGTAACCAGCTGACTAGACATTCACACCTACGCCAAGCTGTCGCTGACATTTGTCAAATAACACAGTTTTCCTTTCAGCCCTTTAATCTTCCCCTCTAAGATCAAATGACACATTTCTGATACTTTGCTGTGAATAGATACACCTGGGACTTCCCCAGCACAAAAAAAAATACCTTATTCATACTTTGTTTCAACTTTGACAAATAACATCCTTTGTATATAGTATTACACAGTTGTGAGAGGAGATGTTTTGAGCTCACGGTGCTAAAAGTCTCAAGTTCGAGTTTGAAGTTTAAAATGTTTTTTGTCATATGTACAATTCACAGCTAAAAAGTACAATGAAATTCTTACTTGAATACCTTCTTGGAAACAATCAACATGTAGTGCAACAATATAATAAACAGTCAAAGTAGAGTGCAACATTATGATAACTGACTGTACAGTATATAAAAACTCAGAAACACTAATATTCTTAGTAGCTTTTGCAGTAATGGGGCAACGTTCTGGGAACATCAAGAAAACTGGACACTTTGAACATTTCCATATCTTAATCGTAATGCTCGATAAACGTTGCTAGAATGAAAAATTGTTGGCTGGGTAACAGCAAACAAGAAAACAAGTAGGAAAGCAAAGGTTTCAAGGTCTCTCACGGTATCAGCAAGGTGAAGCTCCGACTCAATAGGGAATGACAGCAAGCAGGGCTTTGTGCTAAGAAACGGAGATCAAGTACATAACAAATACGGATTGCAGACCATCATATTGTAGTGGGTGTGTGTGCCATTTTCATAAAAACAGTAACATAAGCCAACAGTTCAAGTGACTTTGCACTTGCGGTTACACACATTCTACAGGAAATATGACATGGTTAGGATATTTCCTATCAATGCACAGATTACTGTACATGGTACACTGTTTACAGATTATGCGCTGTGGAACAAAGTTTGCCAGTAAGTTTCATAATTGGTCCTGTCAACCAACTCCACAGAGCCACAATATTTTGAAATTACAAATTTACTTGTGCTGTTTTAAAAGCGATTTAAACAAACAAAAACGCTAAGTTTTTCTTTGACGAAACCTAAAGGCATGGATGCTCCACCCTGCAGTATTCGACCAACAATCACTAGGGGTTCTGACGCACCTTAAGGACTACTGCTGACCTCTAAATAGTATGCAGGGGGCGGCCGAGGAAGTCGAAAGTACAGGATGGCAAAATCCTAATTTACACTGTCCAAATTTTAAGATTTGAGTTTCAATGAGGGGGGCAAGGAAGGAGATGACAGGCAGGTGATGACAGGCAGGTGCTGGTGCTGCTTCTGATGGCAGAATGAACAGCGATACAGCAGCAGGGAAGGACGAAGAGACATCACAGGGACAAGGGCGGGCAGTACAAGACAACCTATACCTCATTCATTCACTCATTCATTCACTCATTCATTCATCATTCACTTATCTTCTATACTGCTTGTCCTATACAGGGTCGCAGGGCTCTGGAGCCTATTGTGGAAACAATGAGCACAATGCAGGGAAGAACCCAGGAAGGGGCACCAACCCACCGTCATGAAGAATAGTATTTATCATTTTTATAGATTCATAGCAATACAACGTTAAATGTCGCAAATACACATTTAAAACTGTGTCCAAAAAATGCTGATTAACCCCAGAACTGAACTATTACACACATCGATTGTCATACTGATTCAGCTCTTTAGCTGTCAAATGGAAAGAGAGATGGTTTCTTACAAAGGATGCTCAGCCAAAGGTCTCGTTGATTGACCTCTGTGGCCCCTGTGAAGCAGTGGCTCCTTCAGATAAGTTTATTTCTCCCTGTCTTACAGCTACTCTCTCCACCTGTCATTAAATGTTACTGTATCTAGCTGTGGCCCGTGTTTAGCGTTAGGTAGGTAGTACAAAGCAGTGTTTCCCAATCTGGTCTTCGGGGATCCACAATCAGTTCATGTTTTTGCTCCCTCTGAGGGCCCTACCAGACAGTCCATGTTTATGCTTCCTCCCAGCTCCAAAATTGTGGACTATCTGTGTGTCCCCGAGGACCCGATTGGGACACTTTGCACGCACCACGTAACCCCATTTTTCAAAGCACCTGCATCATCTGAAAACGTAACTTTTTTTTTTTTACATTTAATTTCCCCTAAACATGTAAAAGATTAACCCAGGAAATGAAACCCATGTTAGGTTTGTGGGTGGCTTCCACACTTTTTCTCTTTTCTGTAAGAAAACAGATGACAATGATGCTGACCTACCTCTGAGAAATGCTGCGTGAAAACAGGAAGCGTGGGGCTTTGCTCCTTTATGTGTATCTTCTTCCCAGGCTGCGTGTAAGTCTGCCCACCTGCTGATTGGCACACAGCATTTAACCATGTGCAGATCACTATGACACAATTTCTTTGTAATTAACTTTCTGAGAACCTGGGTTTAGTGTGTAGAAGACGGACGTTTCTCTATTTAATTCACCTGCTCTGAAAGGACAAAGATAATTCACTGACACTTTCTCTGTACATAAGATTTCTTGAGTGTACTCGGACCTCAAAGCGGCAGTTTATCCCTGTGCCAAAAAGTGAACCCCGAACATGGAAAGTGAGTAGCTTATATACCATTAAACTGTAGCCTTAGAGCCATCCTCTTCCATTCTATTGGTGGGCCTGGTCAGGTCTTCATCTCATGGGAGGACCTTGGGTGATCTGCTCATGTCCTGCATCCTTCACTTTGCACAACACGTTTTATGGCTCCAGCTATCTCATCTCCCACATTCCTTAGAGGATCACGGTGCCTAGAACCTTGTACCACCAGACATGCCATTCTTGAAACTTCTTCAATCTCTCCAGTTACCTAATACACATGTCCCTAAGACTCAGCAATGATATGTGTATGATTAGTTGATCACTGCAATCAGCCTTCAACACACTTATTACAATTGAATTCTAGAATGACCATCTAAATCACCATCTTCCATAGTGGAGAATAGTCAGCTGATATATGTATTAAAGCAGCAGTTAAGCTTATATAGCACTTTCCCTCATTCCTCCTGCCGGTCAGATCCCTGTGTGAATGTTTCCCGTTTTCTGTCAGGCCTGCTGAGAAGTCTTCTCTCTTTTGGAAAGGTCACAGGCAAATAACCTCTGTACCAGAGGCTCAAGCATACACAGCACACAGAAAGCACATTCAGACATTTATCTTATTCTCTATAGCCTAAAACAGAAATTAATCTCACTAAGCCCCCACCCAGGCCATCCCGCACCTATTTTCCTCCAAAATTCCTTCTACACGTGAAATGTGCTGTTCACAGAATATTTGAGTCTGCATCATCGAAGCCTTCCAGGTCCTAGTCCCAGTTGCGGTAATGGTAATTCACATCTTCCCATATCTTGTGGAGGCATGGCACGGTGAGAAAGGAAAGAGGTAGTTATTACAAGTCGACTGGCAAAAAGCAGGTCACTGTCTAGACAGTAGTAGCCACTATACACCAACCCCCCCCCCCCCAATCAGACTGGTCAAACTTTCGAGGAAGCCACATCACTTCAATAGAATGAGTCACAGCTTGTTGGGAGGGTGGGAGCTTGCCTGGAACACACCGAACAGCCCATCGTAAGCCAGACACAGCGGGCCCTGATGAGCCACAATATGGCCCCCTCTGCATGGGTGGATTAGGGCTGTTGTGTTGTGGGTGTTCTCCAGAGACTTAAGCCCAAGGCAGAAGCGCAAACAGAGTTCCTTTTTCCATCATGGAGCAGGGATATTATTTACCCATGTGATGCCCATTATTTCCAGTACAGGAATGAGACAGGCATGTGATTCCTATCATTTAAAAACCTGCCATTGCGTACCCAGCTGTGTCTGCGAAACAGGGCTACACTCAACCTCCATCAGCCCCATCTCCTGTGCCATGCAAACCCTAGATAAACAGCATCTTAGAGCACAAAATTACATTTACAAAACATCTATAAGTAATCAGTTGATTCCAGTATATATTATTTGTGGGTCTACTTAGAGGCTGAAGTCACTTGCCTATGATTTAGTTATTCCTGTTGGTCGGTTATACTTTCTGGGAAGCATTTAATTTAAAATGAACAATGAGCTACACCACATACTAAGCTTTGGTATTTATAATTGCTATAAATACCAATTTAATTTATAATAGATTCATCTTTGTGCGTTAAGGCCCTCTTCTGGTAAGTTGGTGTTACTGCATCCATTTCTCTTTAAACACCAACTCAACCCGCGAATACAAGCGGTGGAAATGAGTCTCTTCCGCAGGGTGTCTGGGCTCAGCCTTAGGGATAGGGTGAGGAGCTCAAAGTAGAGCCGCTACTCCGCTGCATCGAAAGGAGCCAGTTGGGGTGGTTCGGGTCACACATCCAGATACAAATTGCTGTATGTATTTGCACATATTTTTTCCACCATGATTGAAATGACACTTTAATTTCCATTAGCATAAGTACATATATATTGGAACGCTTCTTTTTACATGATCCCATATTTCTCTACTTTGAGACACACACACAAATATCACATTTATAGAGTTAAACGTGAAGCTTGGGGTCTGAGCACAGGATCTGGTCATTAATCAGCCCCCACCACCATTACAACTGTGGACTTGCTCACGCGCACAATGACGTAATTCACTGAGCCGCACACTGATTTGTACAAAATGCTAAGATCTTATTATCTTCAGGGGAGGGATAGAAATATTTTTGGTTCAATCTACATTTAATATAAAGGTATAACTCTGATAGTGATTTAGCTTGTCGTCCTTTGGAATTTTTCTAATTCTTTAGATGAGGTTTTAAGGTTAACGGTTTTAAAGTGGATTGTTTTATCACCACATCGTTATGAAGACGACAATAAGAAAAACGATAACGATTTAGAGTTACATCATGGTCCTCTTAATTCACATTTGGAATTTCCCATCTCTGGATTTCCTCCCAAATCGTATGTGGTAATGTAATGTGAAATGCACTATAAAAATACAATTGAATTGAATTGAATATGTTAATCATCTGCAGGTTTTGGGTTGGCTAATTTTGGATGGATGAATTTTTTTTGAAGGTCAAAAATAGTATGGGATTATTTTAGTGTGTGTTTGATGGATACATTTTGAATGAAAATATCTCATTCTGAATGGTCAAAAGCAAAGACAATTGTAGGATTTGGAGAGGGGGGGGGGTCAGCCCCAGAAATGTGCATGATAATATGAGATAAATCCATTCATTGGATTTTTAAAAATATTTTCAAAGGGGGGGCTGTGACAAAAAATAGGGTGGCTGAAGCAGTTAAAACATGTTGTATCCCTGGGGTACCAATTATTTTTCTTGGGGGGGGGGATTCTTATCTGGGGAAAAAAATGTTTGCACCAGTCTCAGTCAATACCAGGATACCTGCTCATGAGAATCACTGTTTATTGACCTAATATTTGGACAGAGAAAGCAGCTTAGTTGTATGATACTCACAGGACTGAAGGTGACGAAGAAGGCCCCTTCACATTACATACTCATTAAGTGATCTCACTGTTTCCATTTGTGTTATTTGGTCAATGCGGATTGAGATTGGAGTATTGTTGCTATGATGCGTTTGGAGAACCACTTTGGAGAAGTGGTACCGCTATACTCAGTTTAATGGCGACTGGCTCACTGCTTTGAATATAAGTAGTTCATGAGTTTGTTGCGCTGCTCTGAGAGGGTTTCAGAATCGCCCCGCATGACGCTGTAGATCCAGGGCACGTAGGCCGACAGCTTCGCATATACGGCGTGTTTCCTTATCGTGCAAGTTTTATCGTAAGAGAGGATTCCGGCAGCGTACACCCTTCCGGTGGCGGCGTCCTGGACCGCCAAAGCGCCGCCCGCATCGCCGAAGCACACGTTCTCGTGGAAGGCACTGGTACTGGTGCAAAACACCTTCTCGTCCACTTTGGGGCCGTCGCTCCTGCCCTCGTACTCCTGCCTACAGGCCTCGTGCTTCGCCACGGGCAGGATTATGTACTTCAGCTGATTGGCAGGGGTTAAGAGAGCACCCCACCCCCATCCAGCTAAAACGCCACGCATCCCCTCTGTCTCCGCGACGTCATCACCCCGCTCCGGCAGGGGAATTGGCGTCACGGTCTCACCGAAGGTCACAGGCTCCTTAAGCTTAATCAGAGCCAGGTCATTTTCCCAGACGTTGGTCTTTCGGAAGTCTGGATGCAGCACCACCTGTGTGGGACAGGAAGTTGCACGTGTTCGCATTTTCTATCCCATCTCGCTCTTGATCAGACACACAGCTGAGAGCAAGAATGAGGGTCGCAGCACAGGGTCAGCAAGTTCCTGGAGTAATTGGGGTTAATGGTCCTGCTCAAGGGTCCAACCGCTGCATCACTTTGTCAGCCACAGGATTTGAACCAGCAACAGGCTCAGGATCTTAACCCACAGAGACTCATACTGCCCTCATACTAATGCTGTTAGGAATCACCTCATGTGTAAGAAATCTAACAATATGTTATCATCTGTCTCAGGTCAGATCAGGTTGGGGAGCACCGTAAAACTCCTGGGGATCCCAGCTGGCGACCCCCCAGGCAGACACACGGTCCAGTCCCACCCTCCGGAAATGGCCATCCATCTTACATGGGCATCCCCTCTGCCTGGTCCAGCCGCTCGGGTCCTCAGCAACGAGGATCCTGTGAGCCAGATCACCCTCCTGGAAACAAGCCTCATGTGATGCTCATGATGCAGGTAACGTGCCTCATTCAGGTCTCCTCCAGCAACCATTCGTTCAACACAAAGTCAAACCAACGGTGCCCAAGGATCCTCCAAAGAGACACAGTACCGAAGGAGTCCAGTCTTTGTCTCAGCTCACTGGGTAGCGTCCATGTCTCACAGCCACACAGCAAGACAGGGAGCACCAGGACTCTAAAGACTTGGACCTCCGTCCTCTTGCAAAGATATCAGGAGCGTCACACACCCCTTTCCAGCGACCTCATGACCCCCCATGCTCTCCCAATCCATCTGCTGACTTCATAGGAAGAGTCACCAGACAAATGGATGTTGCTGCAGAGGTAGATACATTTCTCTACAAGGTCGACATTCTCCCCGCAGACAGACACACTACTGATGGCTGTGCCAAAGAAGTCGTTAAGTCATCTTGCTTCTGTCTCAGGGCAAGAAAGAAAAGGGGAGCTTCTGTGTCTTCTCTGGAGTTAATTTACTTTTGCTGCGGTATCTTACCACTGTCTGTGAAACGCCCGTAAAAGAGTGAGCTGTATTGCCTAGTTTCTAAGTAATCAAAATTCATATTCTGTCGCTGATAATTACTGGTTAATAAGAGCATTTGCATTAGGTATTATTAGTTTTATGATTTCTCTTATGGGATAGAAAACAGGGATCTGCCCAAATGAATCTGATGTCACTTCCTGTTCCTGCTGTACTCTGAGCTGTCAGACTGACCACCTGCTAGGAGGCAGAAAGAAGGAGTCTCCACTTGCTCTCACCTTCTCCACCTCTGCCTGGTTGGAGGAATTGGCCAGAACACGGTCGGTGATGCCCACATACACCTTTGGGATGGAGTGTTTCTCCCAGCTGTCGTTCGGATACGCTGGGGGTGGTCGAGTCTTGTTGACAAAGAGGTTCCTGGCGGCAGTCAGCACCCAGCGGTCTGAGATCAGCGCCCCCCCCGCATAGCCGCCGTCGAAGGCGGTGTCCCCCAGATAGACCATGACCTGCCATGGGATGTGGGGCGCCACCAAGCCGCCCACGGTGCGTCGAGACCGCTGGCCTGCATGGGGCGAGGGCAGGAGATGGTTACAGACATGCATAGGCATCTCTTGGTAACACTGTGGGGGGCCAAATTCATTCAGTGATTAAGACAAAACTTGTTTAAAACTTGTCTAAAAAAATTAGCTATGTTCAGCTAGCGATTTGATCCAGTGTATCTGTCACGGTGACATCATCCCAAAAAACACTTTTCTGAGTGACATAATTCTGGGACATAATTATTGGATTGGCCTGTGTTGGAGGCCCACCCCCACCTGGTGACTATTTTTGGTGTGTAAATCGCAGTGGGCTTCTGGCTGGAATCTGGTTAGCAGTGCAGCTCAGGAATAGCCAAAATTTAGCGGCAGAGGGGACAGAGTACCGGAAAGATGGAGCCGGTCTGCATCCGTGGCCAGAATGCTGCTCGTCAGGCAGACGCAGGAGAGAAGGAGAGTCTGTGCCCAGGACCTTGGCAAGACAAAGGCAGGCATGGGCAGTGTGAGTAACACAGACCGGATTACCTACATATAAAAACAGCCAGCACCACCTCATCAAGAATGACATCACAGCACATAATTCATCGCAGGGCTTATGCAAGACCCATACTCTTTCTGTTTAGCACATAATAAGTTCCCCTTTGTATTAAAATTTAATTTCTAAATTATAGGATTTCAGATATTTAAAACATGTCAAATATCCAGTGATACATATTTTGCACTGTGAAATTCACTTTAGATATTACTGTGTCAAATACTGATAATAATAAAAATAATAATATTAATACTATTGCATACACACACATAGATACATGCATAGATACATAAATACCTCATTGTGTGATGAACTCTGCTGTCAGTGTTCAGCTGTGATCTCAGTGACAATAGGACTGGACTTTTATAGCTACTCTGTAGTGCAACTTTGCCAGAATGTTTACTGGAACACAGAGCTTTTTCCTGATGATCAATAGTCCGGGTTTTTCCTGTCAACCAATCTCTGCGTACTGCTTTGTCTGTCTCTTTCGAAACAACGTATTGGAAGTGAGGTTGTTCAGGTTTTTGAAAGAGAATTCTGGGAATTTCAAATGTGATTTTCTTAATCAACCCAGGTCTATATAGGGGTGCAGAGTGCGAAGCTTCAAATGCAATTGCAGTGCACATTATTATTATTATTATTATTATTATTATTATTATTATTTACTTAATTATGATACAATGACTGGGCATTTTAATACCATTTTACTAAGAATTGACTACAATGGGACAGTTGAAACAACAATAATAATAAATGTGCAATAGCAATGAGGATATTGTCATGCTCAATCAGTATTTCTCTATCCTGGTCCCCTATATGACTGTACATGTTTAACCAGATTATGTTGAGTGTTTTGATCTATTAATCTCTCCTGATTCTAACTTTTAAATAAATTTCAGTGACTGATAACCAGGGATAGATTAATTTATCTGAGGGCCATAGGCTGACATCAGCATGGACACTCCGGTGCTTCTGATTTAACTAACCAAGGTGGGTGTAGCCTGGGATGGAATATACAGGCATATCACCTGCAGTGTAGACCAGGTAACCCATCTGGCACTGCGCAGGTTTGGGTCAGGCCAGTACTTGGATGGGAAACTAGGAAAGCTGGGTTTCTGCTGGCAGAGGTGCTGGTGTGGCCAACAAGGGAGCCCATCCGGGGGTCAGTGTGGGTCCCAGTATCGCAGTATGGTAATGGGAAGCTGCGTTGTTGAACTGGTGCTGTTCTTTGGATGAAAGGTCATAAAAGATCTTTGGGCATCATGGGTGGTACCCCGATGTCCCGGCTAAAATTGCCCACTATGACCCATTCAGATCTGGCCTCCTAATCATCTCCAATACCTAACTGGTGAACTCTCTCCTTCCTCTTCACCACCTTAGCTACTGTCTGGTGCAGAATGGCTGCTGTCACATTGTCCAGGTGGGCACTGCAATGTGAGGTTGAACTGGCTTCCATTGGTTCACAAACTTCTTCCAGACACCATTAGGTGTCTTACAAAGCTCTGTAAATGTGACGTTCATTCTTTCATTAATCTGTGCCTACATGATATTTCCTAGTTGAACTATTATTAGTCTTTTTGGATGAAAGTACCGTGCACCATGACTGACAGCCCAAAACAAATGAAGTTAAATCACACTTATCCAACATTTAGGGCCAGGGTTAGCTGACCTACATGTCAAAACTGAGTTTAAAAGGAGCATGTTTCTTTTACTCATCTGAAATGAGCTGGTGCGTTTGAGTCACAGTATCAAACGTTTCTGTGTCGAAGGTTCTCAGCACTTTCAAGACACCAGGCTTTTGCACAATCTGGTACACTCCTACTCATGTTTGTTTAGAGTTGCATAAACTGAGATAACAGCTTTTTTCCCCTAAATCGGGTAAAGGGGACATATCACGCCAATTACTTACCTATTTTTTCATTAAAAATTTCATGAATAAGCCATCAAAATATAAGACATTAAACGTTTAATGGCCTGAATACCACAGTGATTCAGGGCAGTTTTTGATGTAAAACTAATCTGTATTCTGTATTCAAGTTTATCTTTGATTTTCACAAATTTCTGGGTATTTTGGAGACATATTTTGCAATAATGATGTCAGTTTTACTTTGCATTTTTGTAGTCCACATTTGAGTTATAAATATATTATTAATTTGTTTATTTCCTAGTCACCTGACAGACAATCTCGTAATGTACTCTCTCTGCCATGATAAGGATTAAGTCAAAGTGACCTTTTGTGAAGGAGGAGATACGATTACTGCTTTGTGGAAATGGATGTTTTTCTGAGTCATGCAGCTTATATACTACATGAAACAGACCACAGGACTTTGCTGAATTTATTATAATAGTAATTGATACTTTACATCTCCCTCAACAGGCCTTGCTGGAGGACCTCCTGACAGGCCAATGCCAGGCTTGAACCAGCAACCTTCTGATCACAGGCACAAAGGCTTAACCCACAAGTCACACACTATCATCATCCAATGTATAACATTTGCAGCAATCTGTTGTCCTCTATATATGGACATTTCTGATTGCTAATTACCTTTTAATCTGGGTTTGTATTTGGTAAAACCCTCTGCAAAAGTGGGTCACTTCATCGCACTTACAGGTGGAATGTTCTGGATGATTCACTTATGTCCGTATGACCATCATGCGGTGGGAGGTGGAGCTGAAGACGTAGGGATTTGTGAAAGAAAGTGCTGCTTATTCCGAAGACCCGCTGCCCCTGCTGGCCTTCAATTCAGCCATTGCACCTCCTTTATGCATTGAATTACATCATAATATGTTTTGTAGTGACATCATAGCATCTTTTTTTTTGTGACATCATAACATCTAGTGCAAGGTTAACCCCCTCCCAGATCATATGTGTCTGGCCTCAGGCTTTGAAAGTTTCACTTGTGTCTGACAGGAGAGAGTGTCTTGTTGAAGTCCTGCACTGTAACTGCCATCCATCATCTACCCATCTTCCAACTGCTTACCTAACAGAACACCTTCTCTTTTTTAAATTCCTTACGGAGGCAGAAAATAGTTTAAAAACCGGTTCAATAAAAGAGAATCGTTCTGTTTTCTGATAAAATAATAGACAAAAATTAAATATAATGGGTAAAATAGCAACTAACAATGTCCAGGAAAAATCTTTTGAGACGCTGTGGTCTACCTTCTCAGATGATTAGCGCAATCGACCCTGTAACACAATCACCAAACAGTAATCGGGTCAGAACTCAGATGACTCCATTCTTTTTATTACTGATCTACCATGGATGACGCACAAACAGGGAACACTTAGTTAAATCTCTGACACCTAGATTGTTCTGATTCTTTCAAAGGATTGTGTGTGTGAATTTGGTGACTGTGGTGATGATCACTATATAACATTCTGGAAATGTGTGTGCACAGTTTACCACAATCCCTTCCTTTTGCCCTTTCGTTGTTGGTTCCTGGATACCTTCGGTTTTGCAGAGCCCAGTGTCAGGAACTCGCACACTGCTTCACAAACAGTATCTGTGAGAAGTTAATCAGCGACTGTCCACGCAGTGACACGAGTCATCGTTATTGTCCAGTGTAGCCACGGGGCCACTGCACCCTACACTGTGTCCCCCCTGTGTCTCACAGAGGAGCGTAACACTGCTAGCCTGATGCATTAACGGCGTGTTTCCTCTCACAGTGACCCTGCCCAGGAGGCTGGATGTGATTTTAAAAGCAGCGGAGCACGGCCCTGAGAAAGTCCCCAGCTGTGCCTGAAGCTTTTTGCTCTCTCTCATTATGGCAACAACTCAGGCAGCAAAACATGCAGAGGTTGTGAGGGCAGTCGGTACAGGAGGGCGCGTGAAACGTGTTCTGCTAACTCATTCTCCCCTGAATATGGGGATATGGAAGTTAAATATGCAACGAGCCACTTCTGGACTTGCTAAGCTCGGCTGGATCGGCTGTGACAGTCCAGGGATGGAACCACATCAGGGCTTTCGCACCCTTACCTGCGACTTTGCCTGGGTGTGACGGTAAACAGTGTGACCTCCCGGTGACCTCGCATCAGGATGCATCAGGGATCGCAAAACAGATCCCGGTGTTCAAAACAAAGGCCACCTGCCTGGGGGATATTGCTCTGGTAGCTGACGGACACGTCAGAGCTGACTGGTGGGATTGGCAGACAGGAGGACACTTCCGTGACAAGGCACACGAGGCCGTCACAGATGCTAAGCGGGTAAGAAGAAACATTTAAAAAGTAATACAAAATTAAACAGATGAATGTGCTGGTGTCAGTGTATAATTGCATTAAGAGAAAAAAGAAGTTCCAAATATAAAATTAATATCCAGATGTTTCCGAACAGTGATAAGATCAGCTGTGATGTGTTTCACTGCATTTTCCTTGTCACTGTAAATTAGGACAGTCCTTGATGCCCAGTGCCTGATGGCTTAATCCATTGCAGTTTGCACACGTCACTACATGGGTGTACTGTCTCCCATCCTGCTTTTCCTGGGTACTGATTGGTCCAGAGGCCACTTCCTGGGCACTGATTGGCCCAGCAACCTCTTCCTGACCACTGATTGGCCCTGATACTACCAACATCCCTAACCTGGATTAGTAACATTTAATCAGACATACATATACAGTGATCAGAGACCATGAAGTCCATCTGGTTTTCTGCATCCCATTATTTTATTAATCCAACCATCATGTTGAGCTTCACCGGGGATTTTCCGCAGGGTGACGTGGATTTGACTCAGTTTTGTAAATGTGATACCCCAGGGGTCATGATGACAGGCTAGGGGTAGCATCACCAGACCCTTAAAAATGGGGATTTGGGGAGCAGGCTTTTGGCATGACGTCATTGCCGTGTTTGTTTTTAGCTTTGCATCATGCTAGTATGCTGTGTCTACTAGGAATAGCTGTCTGTATCTGATATGAAGCATCACTGTATGCTACCTGTGTGCAACCAGGCATATTTACCTTCCATTACAGCAAACTGAAGTCTCATCCCTGTATTTATCTCTTTATCAAAAGAAATTCCATTCTTGTAGTGCGATCTGTTGTAGGAAGGCGATTATTTTGGCCTGACTTTATGACGAGGAACTTTGATTTGATTTTCAGGCAGCAAGAGTTTAAGCTGCCATTCAGGTCAGTGGGCTCTTATTCTTCTGTTTTATTCCCAAATTAAATTCTGCGGAATGCAATGATAAAGATTTGACTGTCCAGCTGGTTTTCGTGTTTTGTTCTGAGTACTTCTGCAGGTCACTGAGCACTTTGTAACTTTCATCCAGTGCTACCCAAGGTTATGTTAAAAACTGCAGCAACAATAATTTGCCTTGAATAATCATGA